GTGATGGGGATTAAGGAGTGCACTTGTGAGGAGCATCGGGTATTGTATGGAAGTGTTGAGTCACTGAATTCTACACCTGAAACTAATATTGCACTGCATGTTAACTAACTGGAATTTAAGTAAAAACTTTTTAGAAAAGTAAAATTACAAGTTACCTTACCATCTACATTCCTAGTATTCTCTATTCTCACTTTTCTCTATAGTACACGTTACCTAATAATATACTGTTTTTTGGGGGGAGGGGGTTTGTACATGTCACCCTTTTATTTTTTTATTTTTTAAAGATTTTATTTATTTATTCTTAAGAGACACAAAGAGAGAGGCAGAGACACAGGCAAGGAGAGAAGCAGGTTCCATGCAGGGAGCCCGATGTGGGACTTGATCCCCGGACTCCAGGATCACGCCCTGGGCTGAAGGCAGATGCTCAACCGCTGAGCTACCCAGGCATCCCTGTCACCCTTTTAGAATATAAGCTTAGGGATCCCTGGGTGGCGTAGCGGTTTGGCGCCTGCCTTTGGCCCAGGGTGCGATCCTGGAGACCTGGGATCGAGTCCCAGGACGGGCTCCCGGTGCATGGAGCCTGCTTCTCCCTCTGCCTGTGTCTCTGCCTCTCTCTCTCTCTGTGACTATCATAAATTTAAAAAAAAATTATAGAATATAAGCCTAGACCTTTGTTTTGTACACTAATATATTTCAAGTGTCTGGAACAGCATCTAGTACATAGCAGGAACCCAAACTATGCATTTGTTAAATGAACGAAATCCCTGAGGCCAACCCATTGTTAATGTATCAGTACATCTTCTTTAAGCCCTGATTTTCTAAGTTTTTTGGTAACTAAGTTTCATGTTGGACTGAAATTGGGCATTATACACTTAGAATTTGTTTACCCAATTTAAACAAAATATGTGCAGCTATTTGAAGTACTATAAGTATAGTTCTTTAAAAAAAAGTCTTCAGATACATGGCTACCCTTTATAATTGTATAAATCATTAAGGCTCTAGATTCATTGGGCTAATTTAACTTGTCAGGGAATTTATGGTTTGTTTTGTATGTGGTGGTAAGTGCAAAAGAATTTTAAATATATAATGTAGTATAATTTTGGTCCTATTGAAAGGCAAATCAGAACTAATCATCTTGCTATAGTCAAAAAGTAAAAGGAGGATAAACTTAAAAGTACTATAGCAAATTGCTAAAATATTTTAGAATATAATTTTTTTCTTTTGGAAAGAAAAGACTCTATGTCTTTGGGCTTATTTCTGCAATCTCAAGTATTCAGTCTGCTTTGAATTGTATTATTTTATTTTTGGATTTTTCTGTTAGCCCCCTGAATGGTCTTCCCTCTTCATGCACTTCATTATATTGAACCGAGACAGACTTGGTGGTGATGCCAGCTTAAAGGCTAGTACCAAGGTAGGAAACACACAGAGTAACTGGAGACAGACCCAGTCCAAGAATGGCTATTCATTACTATTGAGGAAGAAACCAATGATTCAATATTAAGAAGAAATATCAATTATGAGACTAAATGTGAAGGTGAGTGTAAAGTCAGAACTATGCAGCGAGATCAGAAGCCAATGTATTAGAAAAATGACTAAAAACTAAGGACAAGGTGTGGCACACAGAAGAGAATGTACACCATAAATAATCAAGACTTTTCCCAGGAAAAGCAAAGTGAGAGAATTACGTTTTCTTTATATATATATATATATATATATATATATATATATATATATATATATATATAATTTATTTATTTATTTATTCATTCATTCATTCATTCATTCATTCATTCATTCATTCATGAGAAATACAGAGAGAGACAGGGAGAGACATAGGCAGAGGGAGAAGCAGGCTCCCTGAGGGGAGCTCGATGTGGGACTCAATCCTAGGACCCCAGGATCACAACCTGAACCGAAGGCAGACACTCAACCACTGACCCACCCAGGTGCCCAAGAATTACATTTTCAATGGGCTCATCTGTGTTCCTGTCACCAGGGAATGAAGGAAAAAGAAGCACAAAGTTGATGGGGCCTCCAGCCATTTCAGAGTAGCCATCTGTAGCTGTTAAGCAAGACAGACATCTCAAAAGACACCTTCCATGGACATGCAAGGAAAGTAAGGAGAAAAATCAGAGGTTCTTAAGTAACAGAAATATGAGAGAGAAGTTCTAAATATGATTTCCTCTAGTACTTTTTAATAGATACAAGTTGTCAGGCTCCATTTGGTATGTTAGATGATAAAAGTTGTAACACGTCAAAGGGAATATTCAGAAGTATATTTACAGTTCTTATGAAATTTATGATTTAACTATGAAGAGATGTCTACATAAAAAGTGAAGATCATTTGCTGACCATCTAAGTCTTTCCACTTTCTACTTTTTTGCCTTTTTACACACATTCTTTAAGAACACTTTCTCCAAACTTGGACCCAATATCATTGACTCAGGAATTCTGCAAAGATCAATCCCAAGTGCACAAGACTAGCATTACATAATCAATTTGTCCTACATCAAATGTACTTGTGACCCCCATAAAAATGTATCTATTCAATAATTGAGCATCTATTATGTGTCAAGTGCTCTTCTAGGTTTTAGAGAAACTGAAGTAGGCAAAACACTGTCTTTGTCCTCATGGAACTTGCATCACAATATCATACGTTTTTATATCCTCTTTTCCTACTAGGAGAATATTTATTATTTTAATCACTTCCTTACAGTGCATTTCTTAAAGTTACTTGTCCATCAGTCTTGTTGATAAGTGCTCCCACTTTCATCCCATGAATCAGAATCTTGAAGGATAGACAGAAATTTATTTTTAACAAGCTCTCTGTGGGATTTATATGCATTGATAACATGGATAATTTGGGAGGAACCACTGCCCTGCCCTTTTCATACCATCCTGAGGAATTGGTGATTCTCACTGATACCATTTATGTGAGATCCCTTTGACTGTCATGACTAACAGTTACCAAACTTCTCATCCTTAGAGATAAATGTGAAAGCTCCCTGGGGTTTTCCACAGCCAATTCACCTGACAAAGACTGACACAGCAAACTTTTTAAGGTATACTATTTATCTTTAAACAAAATGATTTTCTCTGTGAGACAGATGTGACCATATTCTGCTTTAGGGAAGAAAGAATTAAATATTAATTACAAGGTATGGTTCAAAGAACCAAAAGATTCATTTTAAAGATAAGGTTGAGATGATGGAGATTTAGGAAGTTCTCTTACTAAAAGGTGAGACTGAATGAATCCTAGAAATCCACTGTGAACAACATAAAAATGTTCATTGAAGAGGCTCTTTGTGAGTTAATGATAGTCAGTATAGTCAATATTCAATATTAAACAATATGCAATGACAGTGAATACAATAAATTGATATTCAAATAACAGCTAACACAGGTTTATTATGTGCTACACATTATTCTAAGTACTTTGCAGATATTAAGTTGACAATTCTCAAACACTCTATGTAATTTTTTTTGTTGTTGTTGTTACCATATCTCTTTTGTAGAAGAGAAAATGAGGCATCCAGAAGATAAGTACCTATTCAGGTTTACATAGCTGGCAAATTGCAGCCAGGATTTGATCCTAGGTGCAAAAATCCACGCTCTTAATCACTAAGCTAAACTGCTTCTTATTAGTTTTTATAATATTTCTTTCAAAGACTCATACCAAAGAAGTTTATACAAACCTACAAAGCAAGATTGATTGATCGATTGATTGATCTATATTACAGCTTCCTTGACCCAGTATCATATTCAGGCTAATTTTCACTTGACTCATTTTCAGATGAAGATAACATTGCTGTTGAGGCAAGATCACATAGTGGTTAGAGGTCCAAGCATAAGAGAGAGATGGCTTTGAATCTCAGCTCTGCCACTTACTGCATGAACTGCATCAAGCTACATCTCCAAGCTTCAGTTTCCTCATCTTCAAAATGAAGGTTATAGTGGGACCTACATCATAATATTGTTTAAAGATAAAACAAGATAGCTCATTTAAAACACTTAGGAAGTGCTCAATAAATATTATTCGTGTAATAAATAGCAGTGGTATCAATAAACTGAACCAAATGATCTCTTGATTCTTCTATTTGCACTAAAAATGATTTCTCTTCTAATTAAAAACAAATGACAGCAACCCAAACAACAAACCAAGCCAAAAGCCATTAAACCAATTATGTCTTTTGTAGGAAAACCAGAAAAGCTATTGGACACATTAATTTATATGTCATTAGTTATCCCCTGTATTCCAAAATGTATGTGCCTTAGCATCCTGAGACACCTTGCATAATATAATCACTGTGACTCTAAGAGGTCAAATGGGCAGGCAGTTAATGCTTCTCTGTGAAAAGCTCAATAATTCATTTTATAAATTTCAGTTCAAAGCCTACATTGAGGTTAAGAAAAATTGACATTCGGTCTGTGAACTTAATGTCAAGCTCCAAAAAACTCTAGGCAGTACATGTTTAGCGATTAAGTGGACGCAGACAATAAAGACATTGCCAAATTGTAAAACAAGACTTGGAAATTACAGAAAATGTTGCTAGTTATTGATTACGGTGACCATTCAGTTCCCATTGAGCCACCCAAAAGAATCATTCATTTTCCAGCAGAGAGCCTGCTCATTTGCAAGATAAAAGAGAGACATTTCTGCACATGCCCATAATGTTCTTCACCACTGGGGGCAGCTTTACATAAGACTGCATTCACTGAAACCAAAGCAACAGTCCGAGCAGCTTTCAGAATGACAGTCTGCAGAAGTGAGCTGAGCGTGTGTGCGGTACGGGGCTTTCCTGCCTCCTGGGCTCCAACGCAGCTTTGTGGCTGAAGTGGGTGCTCACCCCCAGAAATGCTGGGCTATGGAATACAGATGTGGCAGCTCAGGTAGCCCCACGTTGCCTGGAGGACTACACCATGCTTTCCGATAAGAAGAAATTGTAGAAGCCAGTTTTTTTTTTTAACACCCCCCCTAAAAAACTGTAAAGATGCAAAAACGTAATATCCACGAAGATCCTATTACCTAGGAAGATTTTGATGTTTTGCTACAAATGCGGTGTCGGAATTTATTTGTTCTTGGAGTGTTCTGCGTGGCTGGCAAAGAATAATGTTCCAAAATCGGTCCATCTCCCAAGGGGTCCAATTTTTCTTCCTGGGTGTCAGCGAGCCCTGACTCACCACAGTGCAGCTGACAGGGGCTGTCATGCAAGTGGCCCCTTAAGCCAAAGCAAAAGACCTAAGGACGACCTTTGAACAATACAAAGGATGGGTATGTTTTGTCATTTTTCTTCTTTCCTTCTTAAAAAAAAAAAAAAACAAAAACAAAAAAATAAAACCAAAACCCTCTAGTCTGTGTTGTAATTCTGCCTTAATTATTGTAGAGAATACCTTTCTGTGCTTAAGACTATACATTCAAATGCTTAGTGGACACGTTTCCTTGCTTAACTATTAAAAAAAAAAAAAGCCCTAAAGACAATCTCTTTAAATTTCAAAGAGGTGTTATTTGATATTAAATGTTGTTATCTAGATTTTAATTTTTAAAAGAGAAAATACATGCCTATTTTTGCTTGATTGAAAAATAAATGAATTCCTTTTTGGGGGGATAACTTTTCTAAGTTGTTTTTATTTCCAGGTTTCAATGTAATTAGGCTACTGAGCGGATCAGCTGTAGCACTGATTATAGCCCCCACAGTCTTACTGACAATGCTTTCTTCTGCCGAACGAGGATGCCCTAAGGGCTGTAGGTGTGAAGGCAAAATGGTATATTGTGAATCTCAGAAATTACAGGAGATACCCTCAAGTATATCTGCTGGTTGCTTAGGTTTGTCCCTTCGCTATAACAGCCTTCAAAAACTTAAGTATAATCAATTTAAAGGGCTCAATCAGCTCACCTGGCTGTACCTTGACCATAATCATATCAGCAATATTGATGAGAATGCTTTTAATGGAATACGCAGACTCAAAGAGTTGATTCTGAGTTCCAACAGAATCTCCTATTTTCTCAACAATACCTTCAGACCTGTGACAAATTTACGGAACTTGGATCTGTCCTATAATCAGCTGCATTCTCTGGGATCTGAGCAGTTTCGGGGCTTGCGGAAGCTGCTGAGTTTACATTTACGGTCTAACTCCCTGAGAACCATCCCTGTGCGAATATTCCAAGACTGCCGCAATCTGGAACTTTTGGACCTGGGATACAACCGGATCCGAAGTTTAGCCAGGAATGTCTTTGCTGGCATGATCAGACTCAAAGAACTTCACCTGGAGCACAATCAATTTTCTAAGCTCAACCTGGCCCTTTTTCCAAGGTTGGTGAGCCTACAGAACCTTTACTTGCAGTGGAATAAAATCAGTGTCATAGGACAGACCATGTCCTGGACCTGGAGCTCATTACAAAGGCTTGATTTATCAGGCAATGAGATTGAAGCTTTTAGTGGACCTAGTGTTTTCCAGTGTGTCCCAAACCTGCAGCGCCTCAACCTGGATTCCAATAAGCTTACATTTATTGGTCAAGAGATTTTGGATTCTTGGATATCTCTCAATGACATCAGTCTTGCTGGGAATATATGGGAATGCAGCAGAAACATTTGCTCCCTGGTAAACTGGCTGAAAAGTTTTAAAGGTCTGAGGGAGAATACAATTATCTGTGCCAGTCCCAAAGAGCTGCAAGGAGTAAATGTGATGGATGCGGTGAAGAATTACAGCATCTGTGGCAAAAGTACCACGGAGAGGTTTGATCTGGCCAGGGCTCTTCCGAAGCCGACATTTAAGCCTAAGCTCCCCAGGCCGAAGCATGAGAGCAAGCCCCCTCTGCCCCCCACGGTGGGAGCCACGGAGCCTGGCCCAGAGACCGATGCTGACACCGAGCATATCTCTTTCCATAAAATCATCGCAGGGAGCGTGGCCCTTTTCCTGTCCGTGCTCGTCATCCTGCTTGTTATCTACGTGTCATGGAAGCGGTACCCTGCAAGCATGAAGCAGCTGCAGCAGCGCTCCCTCATGCGAAGGCACCGGAAAAAGAAAAGACAGTCCCTAAAGCAAATGACTCCCAGCACCCAGGAATTTTATGTAGATTATAAGCCCACCAACACGGAGACCAGCGAGATGCTGCTGAATGGGACGGGACCCTGCACCTATAACAAATCAGGCTCCAGGGAGTGTGAGGTATGAACCATTGTGCTAAAAGCGCTCTTAAAAGCTGGGAAATAAGTGGTGCTTTATTGAACTCTGGTGACTACAAAGGGAACGTGGTGCCCCCCTCCCATTCCCTCTCCCTCTCACTTTGCTGGCAAGGTCCTTCCCCGTCCGTTTTAGTACACTCATAATACTGGTCATTTTCCTCTCATACATAATCAACCCATTGAAATTTAAATGCCACAATCAAAGCAAAGCTCAAAAACTCTGGTTTAGGGATAATGCCTATTGTATAAGACTCTTTATTGATCGCATTAATATCTCACTTGTTTCAAGATAAACTTCTTTCATAAGTAATCCCCCACAGCTGCTGTTATTTCTCTTCTGGTGGGACCAAATCTTCTAGTTTTAGAAGGTTTGCTGTTCATTGGCAAATCGAGGAAAAAGTGAATGAGCCCAGGTACTGGGAGCTGGAACTGATTCTAGGAGAATGCTTGATTACGGGAACACTTAAGAGACAGAGCCTTAAAACATTGTCTGGCTTAAAAAGAAAATTGCAGGAAACTATCAAAAGATGGTGCTGGGTTAAAGAAACACCATGGGCAATTTCCAGAGGTGTTTGAATTTCAGTAAAGCGAGCCTAAGGAAAAGTGTTGAAGGGTTAAAATGCTGCAAATACACAACTGAAAAATGTGAGATGGTAAAAATACAAAGTTTTAGACTTGAATGCCTTGTCTCTGAAATCCATCCCTGTAAAATCGAGCTATAGAGGTTTCACACTGTCAGTTTCTCCTAGCCCGTTATTCAGCCTAAATAAATTAATTAAGTAACCGAGAAGCAAATTTGAGGAGGCAGATTTCTTCACTGTTCCTCACCTTAGGGAGTTTTCAGAGATGAGGCTTGCAAATGGGAAGGCAGCTTGCTGTTTGCCTATGGTTGGGAGCTTACCGGAATTTCTTTCCAGCTCTTTCAGGGACTCTAATGTAGTGAGTGGCATCTTTAGCTCTGTCTGTTCTTCTGTCTGGGATTTGTCAGGCTGTCCTGTTGCATTCCATGATGTGCCCTGCACACGCTAGTCCCCTAATGACTGACACTTCATTCAGAGGCATATAGAGAACACATTCCAAGACATGCGTTCCACCAAAGCTTCATTGAAAAGAAGGATTTCCATAACACCTTAATAAATGTATAAAATAAATCTTAGAGGGAAAAAGACCAACTCCATGGCAGTTGTCTTTTGCTTTTCTATTACTGATGTTACAGTGTCCCTATGTTCATCTGTATTGTGAACTCATCCATCAGTATGATTCTGTACAGACCCTGTTGGCAATCTGCAAGCTGCATGCATGTTTTTATGTCGTAGGTGAAAGTTTATTGACTGCAGCACAAATATCATACCTTCTGTATTTCAGTAACTTTGAGCACACTTCAATAAGATTTAGAAAAATGTCTTTGGTCTGTATTGTATCCTCTCTCATCCTCCAAAATGAACAATCCTGTTACAGGAACAAAAATCAGGAATTGAAACAGTCTGTTTCATTTAATTTGGCTTGCCAAGCCCCACATCTTTAACCACATCCCTGTTCTTTCAAAACAAAATCACTGCAGCAAAAAAGAAAAGTGAATGGCTATTTTTTTAACCAGCATTTTTATATAGTTTGGAGGCTTTTCATATGCTGAGAGGAAAAATCTAGGCAAGTCACCATGAAATATAATTGCAAGGAAGCCAGATCATAAAAAAAATCATACTTTTATAAGCAATAAAGGTATTTAAAGTGGATTTCTCAAGGCACTTTGATTTTGATTAAATCTTTAAAAGAGATGCCAGTTCAGAAAAGCATCATAGCTACAATATATTTACCCATGAATGATTGTTGAATGTATATTTATTAATGGTAAATAGTCACAGATTCCCAATTCATTAATAACGCAGATACTTCCTTACAGTACTATGAACTGGATGACTGAGCCTACTGTGATGTTTTTCACTGAAGTTGTAATTTTTCATTTTTCATAAAATGTCACTAAATATATATTCCATCTCAAAAAGAAAATTTCTCTGATCAGCCTCATTTTTATCTGTACTAAAGATGATTGTATTAATTAAATGCAGTGTTAAAGTGAAAAAGCCCATTTCTATTCTTTGACTTGACCTTCTGCCTCAATTGTCATGTACCAAATAAACTTAGGCAAGGGATATTTATACTTATATTTTTGAATTCTTGCAGTTCTCATTGTTGTGATCCTACCGGCATATATAAAATACGTTTGCTGTATTGAAAGTGTTTCTTAAATTCAAAGCTACTTCATGTGTAATATTAAATGAATGACCAACATTTTAAAGGCTGGTCATTTTTTAATGCCTAGCTTTATTTATAAATTTAATCATACAATCAAAATAAAATTCCTTAGATTATAAAAGTTATTTTAATTCAGGACATGAATTTTGTTTTAAAAGACTCCCCCCACCAATTTTGGGAATGAAGCTTCTCTATTTCTCAGGATCTTCCAATCACAGATACATAATTCTTATAGGTTAGACAATAACTAGTTCACCATTTTAAATTTAACAAATCCAACTGGTCAGTGTTCTCCTGTTCAAAAGTTGTCTTCACCCCCCCACCCCAGAGCACTTTCTGAACTACATACTGTAAGTCTATTTTCATTATATATTTCACACTCATTGCATATTAGAGCAATGTAATTGGTATTCCATTATCTTTTCCAAATTTACATCAAGTATCTGGCTTCCCTCAAAGGTGACAACAGTTACAAAACCAGCCTGACCTATTGAACTATACAACACAGATGCATCGACTTAGAAAGAACTCAGTCAGTACTTTGAATGCTTTACCAGAGAGAGAAGAAATGCAGTTTAGTGACTGAACTGCATGGGTTCCCCCCCCCCCATTTTTATGAGCCTCAGTGCCCAGAGTGCTATTGCAGCACAGCTTTAATAGTCCCAGTGCCATAGTTTTCTAAGCAATACTTACGCAAGATATATTCCTTTTAAATGAGTTTATATTTTCCAAGAATGTTGACATTACATTTTGTCAAAGAATTTAAACCATTTTTTTACTTGATTTGGTGAATCAACTAAGTAGACAGGCAATAAACCTATTTCTGTGGAGCAGCAGTGACCTCCAGTGGCTGGTTATACTAACCACAGCTATTTATACCCCTCCAGTTTTTCTAGTCCCAAATCCTTATGTAAACATGATTTACAACATATATTTTTTGATCTGTATATCAGACTTTCATTTTATTTAATTCATCTCCCTGGGAAATATAATTCTAGCGTGATTGTTTAAGTTATATTTTATATATGGACTTACTTAGTAATTAGCCCAGAGAGAGGCCATAGAACTGGCACTTAGGGCTAGAAGAAATAAGTGTTCATAGATGAAGAGCGAGTAAAAATGTACTAATAGATAAGAAATTCTTTAAAGTATTTTTACTCATCAATTTTAGCCAGATGCTCTGCAAGTTTCATTAAATGCGTTAACATTTTCCATAGGCAGGAAACCGAAATACAATGTAATTTAGATTAGGGAAGACAAATTTCAATATTAATATTGAAAGAATCAGGATCAGTTATTTACCAGTCACTAGGAATGTCAGAGCTATCAGATGAGGGAGGCCTCTTTTTCTGCTCTAGAACCCTCCAGTGTCTTGATCATGCCAGTGACCTGTGCTTTGCCCCAGTGCTTTCCGCAACCCTCCCCCTTCTCAGCCAGCTGAACACTGGTTCTATTAGGCTCTCTGACAATGATGTTATAGTCTAAGAGGTGATGATTCATGGATAATGAAATTATGCTCTCCTTCTGGGGAAGGATAATGCAGAGTCAGATTCATAGATTTGGCAAGGGATTTTACGATGTTGTAGGTGCATGAAATCTCCTCTCTTCCCTTGACATTTACCAAGAAGAGAATTTAAATAGTTTATTTAATGTGTGGATTAGACTAGCATCAGAAACAAACATCCAGCCATGAAGCCTAAGACAAAATGAGTTCCAGATATGACAAATGAGAATTGAGCCATGAGAAATGAAAAACTCAGAAACTGTGTTGTTTCTTCTATTCCCTTTTCCCTGGATTCTCATTGGTATCTTCTGCAGTAAGCCCACGGAGTTTTTCTGTACTGGTTCTCTCTTATCTACCTACATTAAAAATCAGACACAGTTGGAAGAAACTGTGAACATGAACAATAATATCAGTAAATGTGAATTACAATTGTAAGAGAAACAGAACTGATGGAAGTTAAGTAGTTCATATTAAATGACTCTTGAAAACTAGTTAAAAAATAATAGGTGAAAGTGAGTTTACCTAATCAAATTATAATAGCTTACAGAATTAGATCCAAATTTTGCTTAATCTACAAAATGGTGACTTTTTGCATAGCTACGTAGAATAAAATAGAAATACTACAGAGAAAATCTACATAAACATAGTTTACTGTTCTTTTTTATTTGAGGAAAACATCACAGCCATCTATGATAAGAGTATGGGCCTTAGATTCAAGTTTCTCTACATTTGCTAACTAATGATTTCAGGAAAATTTCTTAGCTTTTTGAACTTTAAGTTCCCTATCTGTAAAATGGGCGTGTATTATTGACTTCACGTGGTTATTTGGAGAACAAAATTTGAGAAATATTTTGTTAACTCTCAAATGGCAAAAATCTATTCTTTTCAAAGAGTACTTAGTGAGATATTCAGCTGTAGTTGCTGGTGCTCTGTGTGTTGCCTGGGTCAAAAGACATCACTAACCTCTGTGTTAAGGAAGAACAAATCCACTTTACATTAATACAAATTCTGAGACTTGGCAGTGAATCTAGAACTTAATTTGTTTTTGATCTTTAGTTTCATAAAAACAGTTTCTTCTACTCCATATTATCAGAGTCTAGTTTATCAGTAATGATCGCAATGTACAATAGACATAAAATAAAGATACCAACCAGAGAATATTGAAGCAAAAGCTTATCAGACTAAATAAAAATCCTAATTATGTCCCGAATCAGGTCATTAAAAAC